CAGCAGAGAGATCCACATTCTGAGATCCATTTATTGGCAGAGAAGAGAGGGTTTTTTTCCCCCAAATTGGTTGGTTGGTTCGATATGTAACCCTATTTTCTTCAGGAACTCAAAAATGCTTATAAGCAGATCTCCCTTTGTTTTATCTTTGGAACGACAACCTTGTGAGGTAGGTTGGGCTGTATAATGAACTGGGGCTTTCAGCAGCACCAATTCTGTGAGAACTGAACATATAGATGATTAATATATACATCAAACCTATATTCATAGATAGATAACAATGATATAATTAAATAATAACATATACAATATATGTGATTAAAAGATATAGAATTGTAGATTATTAAACTGGCTTCTGGAAATCCAAACATGAATGCATGATTAATGTTCAATCAAAACAATTCTTAAAAAATATTTGAGGCTAATTGCATACAGAGTAGTAAATAAGCAGCATATGTGGTAGTAAATAATCATTGTTACTATTCCACAGGTAAAAATAACAATTTTCAGAGCTATTAGTCAATCTCTGGGAAAGTTAATGCAGTCAGTTCAATGAGAGAAAGACAAAAGGGAAGTTCAGAGAAAGGTAGCGGAAATGGGTTTTTCAAAAGTGATTCACTTGGATGGAGCTTGGCACAGACTGAGAAAACAGAAACAGCAGTAGAAAGATGCAACATCGAAGCTTCTTGTCACCATAAAGTGAAAAGTTTTAAGGCTGTTTATTATAGTATAGTAAAGAAGGCAAGAGATTTATACATGCAGGTAGTCCTCGACTTACAACCACAACTGGGACCAGAACTTCCATTGTTAAGTGATGTGGTTGAGTCACGCCTGATTTTACGACCTTTTTTGCCATGGTCATTAAAGAATCTGACTTTCCTTATTGACTTTGCTTGTCAAAAGCCTCCTGGGAAGGTTGCAAATGGTGATCACATGACCCCAGGATGCTGCGACAGTCATAAGTATGAAGACTGGTCCTAAGTCACTTTTTTCAGCACCATCGTAACTTTGAACGGTTGTTAAACAAATGGTTGTAAGTTGAGGACCACCTGCTTCAAAGCTTCTTGCTTCAGCAAAGAAAGAAGTCAAAAGATTTAAAATTTACAGAGAGAGAGCGAGAGAGAGAGTTTTGCATAAGGACAATTTAATTTGGGAATGAAGAATTCAGAGAGAAGGTTGTGTTAAGGACAAATCTAGACAGAACAGATTTTCAGCCCCTTTGTTTCTAGCCTGGATCTCTCTACTGGGTCTATTTGACCTGGAGAGTCAATAAACCAGCCCAAAGTGGGTACAGCAAAATTCTTTCTCTCTGGCACCAAAAAAAAAAAAAAAAAAAAAGGTGTTTATTTATTGTTTTGACTTGGCCCCGCCCATCTCCCCACAATGGGGGACTCTGGGCAGCTTACAACACACTAAAAACAGAAATACAATTAAAAGTTATAAAAACCTACCATTAAAAAATAAAAAAGCTAAAAAATCCAAGAGGATGATGGGGGCCACACCAGGCTGCTAAGGGGCCAGCCAGCCCCATTTCTGATATCCTCCCTCCCTCCCGCAAGCCAGATGGCAGAGCCAGGTCTTCAAATCCCTCCGAAAGGCCTGGAGTGAGGGGGCTTGTCTCACCTCCAGGGGCAAGATGTTCCAGAGGGCGGGGGCCACAGCAGAGAAGGCCCGCCTTCTGGATCCCACTAAACGAAGTTCTTTTACCGCAGGGATCCGAAGCATGCCCTCTCTGTGAGATTGGGTGGGACGGGTTGAGATCGTGGGGGCGAGGCGGTCCTTCAGGTGTTCCTTTAAGTAGGAAGACCAAGAACTAAGGAAAGTACACAGTATATATGTAGTACATTAAACAAAAGTAACCAGCCGAAGTTATATGCCCTCTCTGTGAGATTGGGTGGGACGGGTTGAGATCGTGGGGGCGAGGCGGTCCTTCAGGTGTTCCTTTAAGTAGGAAGACCAAGAACTAAGGAAAGTACACAGTATATATGTAGTACATTAAACAAAAGTAACCAGCCAAAGTTATCACATTATATATGCTGACTCCTGACTCCTAGCAACCTTTTGACCAAATATGGCACATCGCCTAAACTTTTTTTTTTTTTATCACTTCCTTCTTATACATCCTGCCTGGTTCATCCTTTCCCATCACTGTCTCCCACTCCTTCTCAACATCCTTTGCTCGTAAATAAAACCACATCTGCTATCTGTAAGGTCAAGCAACACAGCCCTTGTCTTCTTTATTTCTTTATATGCTTCACATGGTGCTCAACAAGTCTGGCCAGCTTACAGTTAAAAGTAAAAAATACAAAGCCAGACCAAACCAAAGAATCATGGATGCCCCCCCCCCCCAACAAACATATAACAATAAATAAATGCACAAATAAAATCCATTTGGGGCTCTATCTTCTCTCTGCCCCAGAGCCTGGGAGAATAGCCAGGTCTTTAATTGTTTCCCAAAGGACATCAGGGTGGAAGGCATCTGGGTCTCTTGTTCCTTTCATTCTGCCCATCCCTTACACTTGTGTACTGGGGCAAGGAGAAACTGGGGACATAATTTCTGAATCAAGGAGGGAGAGACAGGAGAAGAAGAAAGAATGACCTTACTTAGCAGCTCTGGGCTGCATCGGTTCTCCGGAAGGAAGGAAGGAAGGAAGGAAGGAAGGAAGGAAGGAAGGAAGGAAGGAAGGAAGGAAGGAAAAAAATCATACAGAGCATAACCTACTC